GACTGATCATGACGTATAATAAACTGCAAATCGATATCGAGTTATATCAAATGGCTTCTAAAAGAAAACGGTTTTCAGAATCTTGTAGAGATAAGGTAGCCGAAAGGTAAAAGTTGTAACCTTATATGATGCAATATATCTACACAAACACAAAAACTGTGTAAAATTGTTCACAACCATTTGAAACGACGAAAAAAATAAAATTGGGGAATTATTTGTTGACACAAAACAAACTCGTTCTCGATATTATAGAAATAAAGAAAGTATCAAATAGTATTAATATTTATATATAGGACTGGGCTCTACCACCGATATCTCATAAACAAGCAAATACTAAAATTATTTGAGAACAATATTTGAAAGTAGAGGAAGAAAAACCAGCCAGCACCTTGATTCTTACCACATTGCTATCTAGATATAAACTGCATTGTTTGAAAATCTATAAAACAAGTTTTTCTTCGTTGTTAGTTTTTTTGATTGTATGCACTTTTGGTCAGTTTACGAGATCTTAATATAAGTTTTAAATATACGCTATTTATTCGGTAATCTTATGTTAGACTCAACAGGATTTTTCATAAATGATGACACTTGGGTAGGGTAAAACGGAGTACAACTGAACCTTTAACCTGGCAAAAGTGTGACTAACAAAAAATAGTAACTGAAAAAGTAAATTCAGTTAAAGAAAGCAATTTTACAAATTATAAATTAAATAAATAGTTATTACAACTCTGCTGATGAATATTTCTGACAAAATACCTGATCAAAATAATGTACAGCGTTTCTCTGTTAAAATGTACACAATCAAGTTTATATTTTGAATCAGTTGAATAATATAGCTATTATTTCGTAAAATTCTCCTAAATTTAATAATAAAACATTGAACCTGTTTGCTCCCTAGCTCCCTAATTTTACCCCGTCTATGGAATAAAAAAGACCAGGTGACAATTTTTTTTAAAACAAATGATTTTTTTCAATCAGAGTTACGGACTTTTAATAAGTACTATATTACTCAATTACATGTTACATTCTTTTATTTTTCATTTTATTATATAATATTTCACATTTTTTTAATCTACATATTTGTTTTTTCATTTGAGCCTTGTATAAAATTCTATTCGATTTTCTTCATAATGAATTTGAAAAAATTAGTTCTTGTTGTGAAATTGAAAAAAAAGTTCGAATTTAATAATATAAAAGGCTATTTTAACCCTTTGAAATTTTGTATTCGGCAATTTTCTTATTCATAACGTATTGTTTCATATAAGCTTCATTCAAGCATATATCATTTTCAGATATTTGATGGGTTGTTGTAATTTCATTATCAAGTAATTGCGAAAATTTAATTTTAACCTATACTTCTCGAAAATCCGGGACAAATATTAATCTTAGCAAAACCTGGGACACAAGGTAGAATTCCAAGACGTATGATGGTCACCTTATGTACTAAGTGTCTGGCTTCGGAAAAAACGAGTCTGAAACAGCCCCGTCTTGGACAACCTATCTAATAGAGAAGCCTATTTCCACTTGAATATGAAACTAAAAATATATTTTCAAATAAAAATAGCACTTCCCGACATTGCTAATAATAATATATATCGAATACAGATATGAGTGTTATTGGGTTTCGATACAATAAAAAGTCGAGTAGTTAACTTTCATCATAACAGCTCATAGAACAGATCATTATGTTCTGATTGCCGATCAAAAAAAATAAAATAAATTACACTATTAAAAAATATGAAGTTACTAAGATCCTGATAATATCATACAGAATCTAGTAGCAATCAAGTTATCTATACAATTCTAAATTACTCGTATCAAGTAACTTGATTTTACACATAATGCTTTATAATAGTAATAATTGTCTAGAAGTTATAACTAACTAGTTAGTTACTATCGATGCAATACTACAACAGTGTGGTGCAATGAAATATGAAGCTGCGCACTTAAGGTCCTTTTGTTATCAAATACAATATTGGTTGAGTTCTGAAACTTAGGGTACACACAAAATTACCTAATCTGTACATAATGCAATAATATTGGTAAGATTTAATCGTAAGCTGATCTTTAGGCTGAATTAGATTTGTATTCATGTTTAGGAACTTGTAGGCATCATCGTGCCCTAACTCAATGAACTAGCAACCACTGATTCTGAGTTCGACATTCATCAATTTTAACATGATCATTAAGCAATAGTGAGATACGATTTTCACATTTCAGAATAATTTCACAAACAACTTCTTCTGTTATGAGCATTTGTTAATATACATTCAAGGATATTGTCCAACAAGCAAATAGTAGATTATATCCTGTATGAAAAATAAATCCGCATCCAGATTTCTCACAAAAACGTCGCAATTTATTGTAGAAATCTGACTTTGCAAAACTTTCGTTTGATATTCTAAAGAAAATCCTATAAAGCTTCCGCTGTCCGAGGTCTGTTACAAATGTTGTTATTCGGGGACCAAAGGTAAAAAGTCGGGCCGGTTCAGCGTATTTATTTTCTTTGTATTAATATAATTTCATAATACAAAGAATATTTTTTGTATTGAATACCCCAAAAGAAATAGTTGAAATACGCATAATTTTGTCAAAAACGCAAATCTTTCTCTGTGAAATTAGAAATTTGTTTCTTCACAAACTTGTAATTAACATTCATAGATATCACTCTACTAATTCAACTGCTGATCAAATTAATAATGTAATTACAGAGAAACAATTTATGAATATTTCCATGTAATCAGATAGTAGAATTTGGTGTTGCAGTACACAAATGATTTTGTTGTTGAAGTGGTTTTCTCAATTTAAATTGAAACCGAGAGTGATTAGCAAACTCTTTACAAGAATTAAATTTTTCTCATTAAGTTGTAACTACTGAACTATTAAGAAACTAACGGCTTCTCTTGCAAATTACCCTCTAATCGAACAAAGCATCGTTGGAATCTATGTCGGACAAAAGGGTTGAAGTTATAAGTAGTTTTATTGGAAAACTCTCTGTAATATTTGTCTCTCCCCTATCATGGTCGCTCTAAATACTAAAAGTAACAAAGGAGCCCGCTTCACTCGAAAGTTTCAACTTGTCAAGTGCACAAAAATTTTAAATCACCTGGAAAACAATTATTAGGAAAATAGATTTAATGGGGTATTCTAGTGTAGAGCGATGAATTTTAGGTCATTTTTAAAGTGTTATAAAAGAAAGCAATGAATGGTTTCACTGTCCATTTTTTTACCACTTGTTTATTAATATTATTAAAATACAAAACAAAAATTAAAAAATAAAAAAGTTGAAAATTGTAAAAACTGGCAGCTGATAAAGTGGGTGGTCTCAAAAAATTGGCACCTCAGTCTTGACATGATTTCAGCCCTCCTGGCCATCGGAAATGCAAAAAATAAAAAGATTATTAATCTACAATGATGTCGCAATCGCCTGAACTAGCGATGAGTAAAAAGATTTTTTTTTTACAAATGGCGTTTTTCTGAGTTTCTCGAATTTTTTAAAAATAGTAAAAATTGGAATTTGGGGATAATCCTAGTTCAGACTATAGATAGGTCTTAAGTTAACAAGACTCTCTGAATATTTCAAGTGAATTGGTCGATTAAAACTCCAGAAATCGTGTCAACAGTACTGAAAAAGACTGTTCTGAGGAAAACGCATTCGTTTTGCGTGAAGCCAAACCAGTATGGAGACCGAGTCAGTAAAATGCTTATATCTCAGAAAATAATTCAAATTTTCAAAAACCTTCTCGTACCCATATTCTTAGATAATTAAACTTTGAAAATAAGAAATAGAAATCTATTTTTTTCAGTTTCTACACTAGAATACCCCCTTAAGAACCATATTTTTCAGATTTAAATAGTTTTTTAAAATTTGATAAAAATGGAAGTTAATAATCGAACATTACAACAAAACAAATAATGAATGTAATGAATGTAAAATGATTGAAAATTTTTGACTAATAAGAATCTGTGGTAGGAGAATCAAGCTTGCGGTTAGTTGAGTTGAAACCAAACCTTTGTGGTTAGTTGTGACATACAAAAAAATATTTATAGACTTAAGTGAATGGGTGGAATATATAGTTTATAAGATGTAGGGAAATGAAAATTGTCTTATAGAAGACACTATGTTTTATTTGTTTCGTGATATTAATTGATGGTTACGTTGATTTATGATAAAAATGTATATTACAAGAGACGTCTTTTGTAGTTACTTTTAGACTTGGTAGACGTTACAAATAGATCCCATCATCTGTGTATGCAAATGCGTTTTCTGGTTGAAAAGCCCAGAAAAGGTAATAAATATTAATATTGACAATGTTACAAAATTGACACTTATGCGTTATCTCACGAAGAATGCCATAATTATTTGGTTTAAACATCAAAGATCAAGAGTTAATTAGCAATATTGAAGAGAAAAGACATTTCAAATACTTTTACATCATAATATAACCAGTAAAAAGCAATCATAACCCGAGATTATATTAATATAATTTTTTTTTTAATAAAAACACATAGGTATGCAGAAAATATCATTTTTAATCCGCACATTGACAAGTATGTTCAGTAAAGAAATACTGCGTGCGGCTTGTATTGTATGCGGTACATATACGTTTACTTGCAATATATTTAATAGAAAACAAAAATCCCATTATTTACTAAATCGAAGACAGCTTACGAAACATGTCACAAACGTTTATTGAATTTCCATTGGATCTGCACTAGAACAATATGTTCCCGAACTCAAAGAAAATATCCTATTTGCTCGTCTTATATAACTATTTACGTAAGAATTCTTCGAAACTAAAGCAAAATAAGTAATATGAAATCAGAAGCAGCATTTGCAGCAGACATGAAAGCTGATTCATTAAAACGTGCAACGCTTCATCTAATGAAAATCATCCTTCATCTAATGAAAGCAAAAAATATAACAAAACTGTGCAATCTAAGTTGTTAAAGGCTGTGATATCTTATTTCTATTGCATTATATGTATACTATTGCATACCGAGGGATGTTCTCCTTTTGCATTAGCTTGTCCTGGCTTTCCGCTCTGATTTGCAGCCTGTGTGAAAAAATATATTTTATTAATTGCGAAAGCCCTGATAATTAGAAGTATAAATCTTATCGCCGTAATCTCAATGTATTCCATGGGACCATAGAAATTTTCAAGTGAAAGCCGAACAATAAAATTGTAAAGGAATTTCCATTATATGCATGGCTGGAGAAACATTGCGCGTTTAAATCTGAACCAAGTATTAATTATTGAATACTTAAGGGCCAATTCCCTGATAAAATAGATATGTTATAGTAATGATATGTTACATATCTACATTCGTAAGAGTTGGTTGGCTAATTAGCCAAAAAAACTTTACTTCAGATATGTGCTATCAAGTAGACATCAGAAAGTTGCACTTAAGATAAAACTATAATTTGATTTCTGTGCGTTTTACAGGTTAGGTTTTATGTGTAAAACGCCTGATCGCACGGCAATACGTAGCTTTTGAACAATTCGTCACTACCAACTCATTCAAATATAGAACCATAACATAGCATTGCCACAACATATCTGTTTTATATAAGAATTTGACCCGTATTTGAAAGATTCAAATACGGGTAAATGATTTACTTTTAATATTGAACAAAATTTTGTAAATGAAGGAATCAATATATAATGTATATATATTTTGTACCAGCTTCATGTTTTTGATAAAACAGATTTTATATGTTGATAAATGGAATTATTTCTACGCGCCTATTTACGAGTAATATAAATTTGTAAACATGAATTGCAATAGAAATTGCAATTGAAATTTATAAAAAATTTCGATTTTACTATAAAAATGATAAATGGTAATGCATTAATACTTTTTTACTATTTTTGTCGTATATTTCATTAGTGTCATGACCATTTTTGTATTTGTATAACATTTTGTAAGTAGTATTTTTTTGTTTGTTAATAATATTTATTTGGTCTTTTAGTCCTTTGGTCTTTTGGTCCTATCATTTTTACCATGGTTAGAATTTATTTATTAGTTAAATTTTTACTAGTCTTTGAAAAAAAAAAAAAAACTTCTATTCCGAATTATTTGTGGTTTAAACAAAACGAGAAATAAATTTCCGAACAACACGAAGTACTTTTTCATATTCAAATTCTAATGTATACAAATGTTTGTCACCGCATAATATTTTTGTGTTAGGAGACGATAAAAGTAATAAAGTGCGTAAACCCTATGTAAGGATCAGCCCAGAAAAGTCTCCGAAAAAATGACAAAAAATATTCTACATCATATACCTTTGAAAGTTAATATAGTCCATGTTGACTTCGATTATGAATAATTCACATTAATTACTCTTCTCAATTACAATATCATTCCAATTGAACAATTATTAAATGCCTGTAGATAATAAAGTAGTAATTTTTACTCAAATTTATTTCATTTTAATCTCAGTAAATATTCGTAAAAAATACTTCAATTTCTTTGTAACAAAATGTAATGTTTAAATAAGCTCTGATACTAATTACCAAGAAAATGTTCGGGATCGATTACGGTAGTACCACTGTGGGTAGTTTTTCCTAATTCTTGTTTTAAGAACTAACTAAATTGTCGTAATTTGAATTTGCGTATGCTTTAGGGAAAATTTTAGAGAAATATTTCCAAAAATGTGGTTGTAATGTAAATATTACAATTTGCAAAAATTGACGATTAATCAAATTCCTTTTATTCACCACTTGATATTTTGTACGAACACAGTATATTCCATTAGAGTGCAACAAAATATTTGTTTAACGATGAGCTTATTTCATACAAGTGGCTAAACCACCGGAGCGCGAGGTCAGGAAGGCGCCCCAACTCTTGGCTTCCAGAGCAGCCCCCTGATAATTGATCCCCTGGAGCTCACACATGTGCCTGATGCTAGTCAGTCTACGTATTTGGATACATTGTGGTGATTCATTAGGATACTATTATAGTGATAAATTGTTTCGCTGATAACATAACGCGAATAGAATGACAAATTCGAAATGAAAATTTTATTTAATTAAATAGATGATTTATTTGCACTGACTTTATTATAGTCATATCAAATTTATTCATACATTGTGATTCCTCATTAGCACTTCTGATTAACTTTTCGGAGGTCGTTTTCGCGAAACAAAATCAGATTTGATAATTTTATGTTATTTTCGACGTTTCAAGTGATTCTGAAGCGAATGAGATCAAATTTGGAAAAAGTATGTTTGCATGTGAGTATGTTGTACATATGAGCTGATTGTTGAAGCTTTCTCAAAAACGGTTGGACCGATTTCAAATGTTGAAAAGCCATTTGATGTAACTCGATAAGAACCCGCGATTGGCAGTTTTGCGGGATTATCGGCCAAACCCTTTCTATATAATTAGCAGAAAAGTGTAAAAAATTTTCGTCCCCGTTTTAGTTCACAATCTTGAATCAATATTAGAAGCTGTTCGAAAGATATTGATTGAGAATCGCATTGACTAGTTTTTGGTGAAGATCGGAAGCGCCATTTCTTCGGAATTAAATTAGTCCTGTCATTATATTAAGTTCACCTCAGAATTCAAAATGCCGAGCTGTAAGTCTGTAAATACTTGTATACGAGTTTACAACCTAAAGTTGTCTCAAAATTACTTATGGTAGAGTGTACGTACCATATGTAGGTTTTGAGACAACTGTTAAATGTCAACATACAAGTATTTACAGATTTACAGCTAGATATCTCGAATTCCGAAATTCTTACCTAAGTGTAAAGTAAATGACTGGACTAATATTAAATTAGTTTTTTATCAATTTTGATGAAACTTTGTATGATGATAGATATAGCCTGAAACAACATAGTAAAATAGTATAGTACACCTCAAAAAAAACATTTATAGAACCCAAAATAAATGAAGTGAAATGCGTTCGACAAATGAGTTTAATTTATACAATTAAATATTATAGGCATATGTAAAGGACTTCATTTAGAAATCGTATTGATTTATTTTAAGTGGAAGTTGAAATTGTATTTTTGAAGTAAATAGTTGATTTTAGTCGAAGTAAAAAGAAGATTTGCCTAAATAGCTGCATCTCAACTTTTATTATTTGTCAATTATGTATAGGTATCGGGAAATTAATTAAACTTGCCTTAAGGCAAAATGCTACTTATAACTAATTTAAATTTTATATTATGACACTTAGTTTCATACTTTGTTCTTCTTAAGGTACTGCCCTTATAATTAGATAAGAGATGTGAAAATTTTACTCTTATTTGATTAAAATTTAAATTTAATTTAATTTTATATCTATTGCGACAAATTTGTTCTAACAAAATTTTACTGAGTTAAGAAATAAAATAATCTGTTACTCAAATTAACTGTTTACATTAAATATAAATTGCATGTTATTGAGCTGCTATTTGAATTGAGTATTATAAAATTTAATTTAATGTTATTTAATATGTATTATTATTTATATTATTAATAACTCAATGCTTGTATTATAAAATTCAACTCGATCTAACGTATTATAAAATTTATAACGATCGGGGGACCATATAACAAAAAAAATTTTTGAACGTAATGTCAATATTGTAAAAATAACGACATAAAAATAGTGTCGTAATAGGTAAAAATTTTATGTTCTGCATACTTTTGCTCCTTAATAAAATAACTCTGTTGATAAATCGTATTTATAATACTATGTATTTGAATAATTTATATGCAGAATATGCAATCCAATATACTCATCAACTCAATTTAATCTGTATGCAAAGTTTTATTTCAAATGTGCTGAAAGTATGAGTGGGAAAATCTGTACTACTTATTGAGATATTTTGCGCATTTGAATAGTTTTCAATATATCTTTATAAATAGATCATTATAACACACTAATGAATACCGATTAGATTTAGAGAAAAAGTAAATAATCATTTTATTTTCGTCTACATAATTATTTTACGTACTAAGTTCATATTCGATGTTTTTTCAAACATATTATAAAGTAATATTACCAAAGGCATTATAAAAAAATGATAATTCAACACAATTATCTTTATCACTTTTCAAAAATTTTCAAAAAATTCAGTTATTAGCATGACTATAAATTATATTCATGTCGTTGCTATTTTAGCTTCAACTATTTTGAAAAACAATAAATTGCTCGCTGAAGTTTTCATTCATTTTATGAATTGAAATTACATAAAAGAATTCTTTAAGCTCTTATTGATTACTGAAATAAAGGTCATGAATATAAATCATATAATTTAGAACACTGCTTAGTATTTTGTGCCTCAAAGAAATAATTTAAAATTTATCTTTGCTGCTACTGAACCTTTACAAATGTGAATGCAAAAACCACAGTAAATAATATGTGAAAATGCATTCAACTATAAAATTATCTATAAAATCGCTAGGTCGTATGAAAGATATTCGCAATATCCGACATTTTATACACAAAAGTATAGAAAATTCGATCAAACCTTTGCATAAAAGTATTTTGTGAAATATTTGTGTGGGATCATTCTGATGTGATTTTAAAATAAAGTTTAAAGGTCACCGGTCATGGTTAACAAAGCTTTTACAAAGAGAAGAAAGTATTTGATCCTTTGAAATCGGCGTTCGTAATTATTAAAGTTTTTAGGATAATGATATTAGGGGGCCCCCAAATTATTTTCATAAACAAAATTCTTTATCCTAAGTCGTATGAGAAAATATGAAATATTTTTCCATGTTCGTCTTAGGCTATTATTTTCAAATAAAATAATATAAAATATTCAAACAAAAATGTTCAGAAAATCAAAATTTTAAAGCTGCGGATTTTAAATAGTATAGAGAGAATTCTATTTTATATAAAAAAATGATGTACATAACTTTATACTCAGTTGTGTAATACTCTCAGCAGACTCGTAATTACTTTTGAAGTGTAAAATAGGTAATCTACTTATGCATATAGTTTTATATAAAAGTCCAGTATGGTTTGAAGTGCCATTTATTAGGAAAATCCATTTTATTTACGTTTTAATATAACTCGTATATATATATATAAATATAAACAACAATTGAAAGCCCAATTAAAATATAGATACTGAAAATGGTTGTAACCAAAACATGTTGTGGTTACCCGACATCAAGTAATTACCATCACTAATGAGTAACTACTAATGAAGGGTTAATATACTAACATTTCGCAATTATAAACAATAATATTCATAAAAAATATCCAAATCTGTTAAAAAATGGGTATATAAGAATCAAAAGAAATCTTCTGCTTTCATAGATTCTGTAATGTCAGAAAACTTATCAATATGATTCATGTTATATTCATTAAAAACAATCTGATCTGTTTGTAAACGTAAACGAATCTATTTTATAAATTGGGAATTTTTTTCAGGAATAATTTTTTAAAAACTTTGATGATATGATAACAGAAAATTTTGAATTATGCCAGACTAAAACAATTATATAAACAATTTTGAACAACAATTCTAACTAAATGAAACTATTGAATTATCTAATCATCTATTATACTATTAAATTTATCTCGATGAAATCAATATTTTAAATTGTTCGGTTTTCTATAAATTTGGTATTTAGATACAGGTTGCAAATATAATGATAGAGTATTATTGAAATAAAAAAATCAATGAATTTTAATATTAAATAATTCAAGGAACAATTTTTAAGGATATTTGTTTCAAATTGGTGTGAAAATGATGTTTTTCTGATGCTTGTTATTTTCGGAAAGCAATCAGTGCAGCTTAATTTATACTCGTATAAACATTTAATGAAAAAAAAACTGATCAATTAATTAATACTTCATAGATATGTTGATTATCAAACAATGCTTCATAGATAAGTTAATTTTAACAGTTTGTAAATTTATGACCAATATTAATTTATTGGTCATACCACTCACATAACATAAGACACAAATATATTGGATAAGTAGTTGATTTATACGAAGCAAAATAAAATAAAAAATTCTTGTAAACGATTTTAACTAGTGGTTTCAATTTTTATATTGCTATTTCAATAACCAACAAATTTAAGAACCCAAATTTTCATTCTACAAAAAATCTATCTTTTGATTCACTGTTAAGACTTGATTTTTAAGAACAAATCATCATATAGGTCTTTGCAAACCAACAATAAAAGCAATTGATTGATTATCTATTAATTTTTTTAGCATAACGTTCATAAGTTTCAATTAAATAAGGTTCCACTGCAATGTGGCACCTACCTATTTATAATCAAAGTAGCTTTTTGAATTTAAAGTAGTAAATTAGTGAAGAAATTCCACTCTTTTAAGATGAAACATCAAATAAAATTAAAATCTTACACTCGCTGATTAAACACATAGCCAAGTCTTTTAAGCCAATAGACAGTCAAAGAGCAAAGTTTTAATGAAGTGATCAACATGTACTATCAATATTAAATCAGAATTTAGAAGTCGACGAAAATGTAAATGTTTGGAAAAAATTTTAATCGTAGGCGGAAACTTCATGATTGAGTTAATCATGCAAAAAATAACTACAACAAAATTTAATTTGTATTTAAAAAAAGTCAAGTGAGAAATAAAAATAAACCATTTAGTACTTAGAAGTGGTACAATCTAAGGGGCACGTATAAACTTTTTTTTTATAATTTTTAACTATGACCTATAGGACATATTCGGGCATATTAGACAATCTTACTTTAGAATAATTTTGTCACGATAGAAAAGCTAGATTAGAGTCAAATGATCAGAATTGTACTTTACATGCAAGCACAGTTGGAAATGGTAGAAATGCTCTTCGGATAAGAGAAAATAGACAAAAAATAACAAAAATTGTGATATCACAAAATCACCACTAGCTTCTTTCTGTTTACAAAACTAAGAAATATTATAATTATCAAAAAGTTGAATACTGAGTCAATTACAATATCCATCACTTTAGATCGTTTCAAATTATCATATCGTAGTGTTTAAAGAATTTAAAAACTGCATTAAAAGGTATTTCAATTGTTGAATGAAAAGGTGAAGTTGTATGTAAAGTTTTAATGGTATAGATTCAACAAATACTTTACCACTTTGAAGAAAAGTTCCCACAAATAAGTTATCGATCATTAAATAGAATATGATTGTTTGAAAAGTATCATCAAAGAGTAGATCACGGTATTTTAATTATCGTCTAAAATATGTTATGCAAAAGTTATTTAATAGTTTCATAATGAGCTATCTTTAATTAATCAGAAAGTTTACGATAATTATAATGATTAATGGATGTAAATTAAGAAAGTTTTTGTAAAATTTAAATTACAGTGGATTATGAAATTCAAAGTGAATTCTTGAAGAAATATTATTTGATAAAGTTAACATAATTTAAAAAATGTTTGGTATACATCTAGTAATTTTTCTTATTACTATTATTTTGACTATCCAAACGTATCTACAAATGTTTAAAGTTCGTTTGTCATATACTAAATCACTATTTGATATACATGTTTTGCAGATTTTCAAATTGTTTTCACAAATTGGCAGTTACATTTTTCGAAAATTAAAATAAATTAAATACTCAATCAATTACAATATTTATCAAAAACCCTTAAAATTTGAAATAGGAATTATATAGAAAAAAATTGTTGTATTAATAATTTTATCATAGATGTTGTATTAATAAATTATTTATTAAATGTTCCCAATGCCAAATTAATTATAGCATAGCAGTTCATGGTAACTCATTATTAAATATATTAACAACTTGTACCTTAGTTCCTAGCGTACTCAAAAGATGCAGATGATAATTAAAGTACTATGGTATGGATCACGGTGATACTTTTTATGCAATCATTATACATTTTATTATCGATAACGGGTTTATATATAATAAATATTTGCTGAATCATTGAAAATCGACTCTGAACTCTACCTCTTTGTTTAAAAATTCAAGTACCTTTTTAAAGTAGCTTTCAGATTCTTTAAACACTACGATATGGTAATGGAGCTGAATCGTTCGTGATGGAAGCGATTCTCAAACACTATTCAAATTTTATAATTAAAATACGTATTTAAATTTATTATAGGGCTAGCACGTAGGTTACGAGCGACGGGACTTGATTCAGAGGTCCCGGGTTCGATACCCGCTTCGAACTCTCTTGCTAAGCAGCAGTGATAATATAAAAAATAGATAGCAATATGTTTCCAAGTGAAAATAGTTCTTAATAAAAAGTCAGCCCTATTAGAATAATTCTAATAATCAAATCATCAAATATGGATGGATTAACCATTGAATTACCATCTAAATATACGAAATAAGAAGTTTCAGCCCAAAAATTATAGTACGTAAGGTTTCTGTTTGCTATTAAAATATGAGAATATCGGAAGAAAATTATAAATTACAATACTTACTATAAATAAATTACACATATTTATTACCAAGCGTAATTTTATTTATAAAAAAGTATTGTACCTAATAATACAAAAACTTGGTTACGCACATTTTGTCTTTTGAAGCAAATTGTATCATAATCACGTACTACGAAGTACTGCATGAATCAAATTAATAAAGCTTAAGTTAAACTTTAATAATTAATTATGTATTTTGTAAAGATGCTTAACTTCGTTGTTTCAGAACTACACAATAATAAAGTAAGAAATTCAAGTAAATAATTACTTGAAAATAAGTTGTGACAAAACTTTTACCTGATGACCTCCTGAATTTGGCCCCATTGCGCCGCCATTGTTGGCGCTGCCTCCGCTGGCACTCGCGCAGGCACCTTGCACCGACGAATTTGAATTGACACCTTTTGAGTCGCCTCCGAGAGGTGACTTGGCGGGCGTACTCGATCCTGTCGTTCTGGAATAGAAGAATGATTAAATGAACTAGGTGCAAATAACGAAGCGACTTTCTAATCATATGTTACTATAATATAATATCATAATTCATAGAAATGAATGTTTTCATATGCCGCATAAGTCATGGGAAACACATTGATTGTGTTTAGTTCATTTATGGACTATTAACTTCCCGAAGGAGAAGTTTATGTTTTCATCAAAAAATCCGATTTGCTAATTTTATGTTTTCTCGACGTTTCAAGCCATTCTGAATCGAATGAGAACAAATTTGGAAAAAGTATGTGTGTGTGTGTAAGTGAACATATTTGTTGCCGTAAATCGTCGTTTTCTCGAAAACGGCTGGGCCGATTTCAAACATTTACAAGCCATTCATAAATAGCAGAAAAGTGAAAAATTTTTCGTCCACGTTTAAGCCCGCAATTCTGAACCGATTATGAAAATTCAAAAACTGTTCGAAAGATATTAGTTGGGCATGATGCTGATTAATTTTAGGTGAAAAACTACAGAGGCGTTTTCTTGTAATTAACTGTTGATAAAAAATTGGAGCCGATTTTTATGGAACTTTTTTTGGCGATATATATCATGCTCTTATAGAACTTACTGAAATATTACTGCCTTACGACAAGTAATTTAATTTTAAAAATTCATCAAAGTTTGAGATAATGAGTATTTGTTTTGACGTTTGTTAAAATCAAAATTAGACGATTTACTTGGTATGACAGAGTACTTGGTCTTATTGAACATACTAAACCATTAAAGTCCTACAAAAACCGGTTCAATTATAAAAATTGTTGATTTTTGAAAATTTGCTTTTAGAAAATATTCCGAGTTAACGAGTTTATGTGTTATGAATCCACTCGGAATACTTTTAATCGCTCATAAATTAATTTTTTTTATTGATTAAGTGTCGATTATTAACACATATCGGGAAGTTCATGTAAATTACCAATACCAACTAGTTATATAATGATTCTCAACTTTTAAAGAAGTTTAAAACTTTGCTCCATATGAGTATTTTTATACGTTGGTAAAATATCTAATATTTTCGATGTACCTACGCTTATTAGGAAACGAAAACGAAGCTTCAAAAATAAAATAATTTTTCATTATTTAGTCAACCCTCCGTTAACGCGGCAAGTGCGTACCGTACAGTATGGGGACTGGCTATGAAAAAAACTCGTATTTAACATACAATTCAGGCTAATTCGTAGTGCGTTCTATGGAAACTTATATAGTGCAGTATGGGAACCGTGCTATGATAAACTCAGAATTAGTACAAATCGCACCATTTTTATCGTGCTGTATGGAGATCAAGAAATACAACCTGTAGTAAGAGTAATACGGACGAAATGACGTCTATGACATAGACACCTTATTCAAAAATTGGCGCAACGCAGTTGCATAAACGTATAAAAGCAATTCTCACTTGAGATCATATTTAAAAAATATGACCTTAAGTGAAAATTTGTCATCAAAGCTGCATGATGCCGTCCTGGTAGGATCAAACCACCAAACCCACAACTATTTTGGGCTAGTCAACGTTCTAATTACGCCACCGCTTGGCCCAAGGTTCAAAAAATAATGTGAAATAGTATTCTCAATGTGGGTGGAAAATTCTAATAGCAGCATTTGACATTTGACATTCTATTTCTATATGGGCGAATTCTATCACTAGTATGAAATGAAAAATAGATATCGGTAAAATTCTTCTAGCCACAGTTTGGTAACAAAATATTTGCGTCAATAACGAGTGTATGAGTATGAAAGAGTTGTCAACAAAATTGTTTCGCGATAAAATCTACAAAATAGATTTTTTAAAAAACCCACACGCATATATGTTATAAAGAAATAAAAAACTCTTACTTCTTTATCTACATTTAGTTTTTCATACATTGCCAAAAAAAAGATTTAATCATATTTGACTATAAAAGTTTCGAAATATACAAATATATTATATACATATTAAAAAATTGTAAAATATTTATGAAAAAGTAACTCAACAAAATGTGATTTCAAGGAACACTTGCTATTAGTTAAAAAATAATATATTCCTAATTAAAAACATACCTAACTACATATTGAATACATTACAAAAAAAATCAAACTAATAAAACTAAAGTTTTGAGACGTAATGTTTGGTCATTTGTAAATTTATAAAAATATGTTATAACATCTAATACTTTTTGCAGTATCATCTATGTCGTGTAAAAATATTAACCGAATTTAATCTCTTAATACGTTAAAAGCATTAAAAAATATATCACCTATAGCTCAAATAGTTTTTATACATATAATATATAAACAACAATTATAAAAGGAAGAACTTCAATATCATTAATAAAAGGAAAATAGTTTGTTCAAAAAATTTTAATTATCAATTTTGTATGCGAATTATGTTATTTGTGTATGGATAAGGGTCCTTAAAATTGCAGAATATTAAATTTAAACATATTCAATTATCAAAATTGTTTAAGTACTGTTCATATATCAAATGCCCATTTTTAGGCAAACAAAATGACCAGATTTGTCAAAATCCAATCTGTATAACAACAAGTAGAAAGACAAGACTTGTGTTGCAGAGCAAATCTACCTATTTTTGTTCTCTTGACAACATTAAGATAAATCGAATAACTTAGGCTTTCTTCTGTAAATGTGACAGGACAATTGTGTCTAAAGATAGAAACATTTACACTAATAGATCCCGGATTTTTTTCCTATCCATCCTAAAAACAAAATGATCTTGCAAAGTTAGAATACAAAAACACATATAAAATATTTTTCAGTTACAATATTAAATCCTGCGGGAAGTAAATTAAATCCTTGAAAATGATTTGAAAAGGCACTACTCAAATAGAAAAAATCATTTTAACCTGGAGCCATCTGATATTAAAAAAGCTTTTGCTATACATAAAGTATCATTCATATAATTAATGTGAAGTCATATTACTTGAACAATGTAATGAAATTCTAGTTCATTAAAGAGGAAAAGGCTTTTTATAAAATCCCAAATAAACAAATTTTTCATAATAAAATTATTGCAACAATATTACGAGTATACATTACAGTATGTATTACATACGTATATTGTATATCAATATGTATGTAAGGTGAAAAGATGCTAAAATATTAATATTAGGTATTTTAAGGATCCATATTAAGCAAATACTTAAAACTATTATTTAATTTTCAATAAAATTTACAAAATATTAGTCAAAACAATTCTCAAGTTACATATTTTAAACACAATTAGAAAAAAACTGAACAGATGATTATAACAATTTGAGAATATTAAAAACAATGAATTATCAAATGTTTCGGAGTGACTAGAAACATTAGAAAAATATAAAATTAGCAACTTGGTTTACGAAAAATAATATGTATATTTGAATATTGATGTGCGATAACTATTTCATAATGCATCCAAAATTAAATGGGTTAAAAAAATTACTGAGTAAATAAAATTATTATAAAAAAGTTATTTAAATAAAATATTATTAACTTTCCGTAGGATAAGTTATTGTAATGGGCCGAAAATAGAAATTGAAAATTTTTACATTTCTCGACGTTTTGAAGGTTTCTGAACATTTTGGCATACCTCAGAAAAAATGGATGTGTGTGCGTATGTATGTATAGATACAATTTTTCGTCCACGTTTTTGGGCGCACGAATCGACCGATTTGAATGATTCAAAAAACATGCAATTCATATTTATAAGGAGTTGTGCTGATTAGTTTTTGCCAAAGGCAGGTCCAGCAGTTACGGAGATAAAGAGCAAAGAGTGCAGAAAATAAAAATCGAGTTTTTGAAAGAACGGAGCATCCGATTTGAATGATCAAAAAAACATTCAATTAGTAATGATTGGGAGAAGTGGTTATAAGTTTTTGGCAAAGGCAGGCCTAGCCATTTCTGAAACACAAAGCTGTGCAGAAAATGGCAGTTTTTGAGAGAACTAAGCGGCCGATTTGAATGATTCAAAAAACTTTCTGCTTGTTTTAACAAAATAATTGATTTTGGAAAAAAAATTTGTTTCATATCGAAAATAATTCAGATTTTAATCGTAATTCTGACTAAAATTCTAATGTAATTTTAACAAATATGTTCAACTTTGCAATTCAGTTTATAAAATTCTTATAAATATTAGACAATGTTACAATATTTAAAATAATCTATTTGAAAACATTCAGTATTTTTCGAACATTTTGTTACGGTACGGGAAGTTCCAGCAATTTGCCATACACCCCACTAGTTTCAAATTGATTTTCTTATATGTAAGAGATTAAATGAAATACGAATTTAAAATAATATATTTGTCCACAAATTGTAGAATTATAGTATGTTACCACTATGAAATTTAATTTGACGTAAAAATGTGTATCAATAATTATGCGCTGATTGTGAATATCCAACCTGTGAGTATCAATTCATAATATAAATATATTATGATAAAAATAACCTATAAATATTATCAAGACTTTCGTCAATTTGCCAATACACGTGAGGCACATTTCTATTGTAAATTATTCCTTCGCCAAAAGTACATTCTTAACTGAAGTCAAATATATACTTTTGTATAAATAAATTTTATGAATTTGTAATAATTATTACTGTTTGTGCCACGAAGGCAATCTAGATTTATAACTGTTACATAAATATTTTCTTTCTTACAAGGGCAATTTTCACAAAATTAATGGCGGCTACTTAGATTGGTGATTTGGACTGTCTAGTAAATCTACAAGTAAAATACCTGTGTATTTAGGGTAGTTGTAAACAATCCTCACTTATATTAGATATTTAACACTTCACTATGCACTAGCTCAATCGTTTAATCAACTTTTGAAATATTAGAATAATCATTGCACAAATACAAAACAATACTGACAATTATGGCGTCACCCTACACAATTAATAGGCGTCACTTTGCAAACAGATCTGACGCAAAAATGACGGACCTCAGGCGGGAGCGTTAGTGTGAAGTCAGCTATTTTGTTTAGCGCGTAATTTGAATGTTCTAGTTTTAATCACTTATAATGTAATTCTGCATTATAAGTGGAAAAGTTATTTGTTATAAACTAGTTATTTGTACATCAAAACTTGCATTTGATTGGTTAATACGAAAAATATGATAACATTAATATTAATTTAGTATGGGAATGGAAGAAACTATTGACTAAATGAAAATTTACTATTTTTCACATAGTTCATATTGAAATTGTATACAACTACCATGCAAATAATTGCTTTATCAGAAATACTAGTATTTGTGTAATTTGACTAGGACAACAATATATATATATATATATATATATATATATATATACATATATATATATATATATATATATATATATATATATATATATATATATTATACTTCGGGATTTTTATTTCCAGTCACGATTCTCTTTGGCGAAGTCCAAACAAAACGCAGCCAAAATAATAATTTTTGCATTCATTCTAGTATTTCAATATACATCTCTTTTCTCTCAATCTCTGGTAATACAAACACAAATACTAGCAGCGGTTAAATTATATATATATATATATATATATATATATATATATATATATATATTTTCAAATATATGTTTGTCATATATTTTTGAAGATTGAATAAATAATACTTACTCCAATTGCGCTCTGTTTGTGAATTGCCATTGAAGATTAGCCGGATGAAACATGAAACAAACAAATATATTATATTAGTTTAAGTACATATAATTTATAGAAATGTACATGCATTTATAAGCTTAATATATATATATATATATATATATATATTTATATATATATATATATATATATTCTGCAAACATTAGAACGCTTTATGGTATTAACGCCAGCAAATATTTGATGTAAATTGTTTGTTGAACTAAATTTAATTATTTGTGTTAGCATAATTAATGTATACACGGATGGGACAGAATACTTTCCTACGACATATTGATTCATGTGTCCTGATATATATATATATATATATATATATATATATATATATATAGGGATAGTTTTGTCGACGTTGATACCTATTTGAAGTATTTTGCAGCGCAATCGTCAAATTATAAAAATGATTCAATGGATTTTTTATTCTATTAGACGTTTCAACACTTTATGTGTGTCATCATTCAGTAATCTAAAAAACATTACATAAATAACTATAGTTGATATTAAATGTAAAAATATAAAATAGAGAAAATTATATACATACCAAACCAGGAAAAACAAAAAAATATACTTTAATTTTGTGTATATATATATATATATATATTTGTATTTTTCCTGGTTAAAAACAGGTCGTGCCGAATGATTTTATAGTCTATTAAATGAACAAAGTGTTTTAGGAGGTCCGTGTTATCAGAGAGCTGTCGCAATTTCAGCTCCAGGAAGTATGAAAACCGCTTTCACAGAGTATTGCGTTATCGGGGGTTGACTGTAGTTAAAATCAAAGCATAGTGTTTTCTGCACAATATCGTTGAAAGTAAACAAGGACGCCAGCAAAGACTATTGTAAGACAAAAAACAAAATGATCGGAGACTAGCTCAGAAATAGAAATTATAGGGAATTGAATTCCTAATCATGGACGTTGATGTTCGATATGTACTTATGTATATTCCATTTCAAAGAATGGAACAGCACCAACAATAATAATAAAATGTGTAGATTTATACACATGCATGCCATGTGAAATAGCATTATGCAGAGTAGCATGAACCGTTATGGTTCCTTGTTAGTTGACATTACTTAATCTTGTAAGCTCTTGAAGATATGATGAATGCAAATTAACATATTAAATATACATGCTAACACTGTGTGCCTGAGGTCCATGAATGTGCAGCACACAGTATGACCGAGTCAAATGAATAAGTTATGGGTTGTTTCAGAGGATATTGATTTAAAATACTAGTTTCAAAAATTTCAGCAGCAAATAATATTGTAAGTTCAAGTACCGAGAATTGCCAATGTACTCAATTTATGTTTAGCAGATCCTGCCAGTTTTACAATCATATTTGAGAGAACTGTTTTTTAAAAAAAGCCTTCTAATAAATCTATGCAGTGGCAATATTTCCTAGAACTTGAAGATCAAACTAATTGCTAAATAACTATAGACTCAGCCTCGTTAGACATCACATTCAAAGAGACTGCAAAAAATATTCCAAAAAACAATATTCAAAACAGTTAATTTTCCTACATTTTTGGAGAACTGAGCTAAATTGATGAATCACTCATACGTGCGTTTTGAAATTTAGTCGATAGTAGTAGTAGGATTTAATAATAGTAATTTGCTTCTTATAAGTTCCAATTTTTTATGTTTCTTTTATCATGTCAGTCAGTTGTATGTGAACTTTAATGAAATAAATGAGATTAAAGTTTATAAGTAGATATCTCAAATTTTAAATTATACCCTTTGATACTAATAAAGTGTATGTAATTCTTTGTTGAATAAAATCAAAACTTATGATTTATTTCTATAAAGCTGAAAAAACTAAAATCAAGAGGTACTGATGTGATAATAGCTTGCTTTCCTATTCCTGATAAAACAAATCGATTAAATTCACATAACAAATGAAGTAGTTGATAATTAAAATCGCATATTCCACAAAATCGATAGATTTCCCAACAAAGCAAATCACCCACCATGAACCCCAAATTCAAGTCTGTCGACGACTTATGAATGTTTCAAATCGGTTTGGGACTTTTTTCAGAATACGTGGACAAAATGCGTAATTTACCATGTCGAGACTTACATACTATTTTTCTGAGGTGTTTCAAAGTTATCGGAACGTCTCGAAACATTAAAAGAGCCATCATGTCCTACTTCATCTTTATGGGAAAATCAATATACTTGTGCTAGAGAATGGTAATAAAATATTAATTGAATTGATTGCATCAAAATTTTGATACACGTTTATAGTTTTAATCGCTTCCATAAAGTTTCCACTGAGAAAAACTTCATTAATAACCAATAGCCATTTTTATTCTATCTAGGTTTTTTTATCTTCTATATAGCTAAAATTTGATATATTATATAAATATTTTATATAATTGAATTTTTTGTTTAGAAAATATTAGTAATTTTTTAGAATATTGAGAATTTGTAGTCTTATTATATACATGTATATTTAGAAAATAAAAAAATTCTAAAAAATTAAATGAACTGAATTATTATTAGTAATAATCATAACCAATGCTAATTAACTCTTAATTTTCTGACATAATTAATAATTAATTCATTGTATTATGTATTATGTATGATAAGTATTATCACTTTATTACCCATTAAAAAATTCATTGTTTAAATAAATATAACGTTGCCTATTAAATAAATTTAAAGTACTGCTGTGAAAAAATTCAAGTTTAAGTTTCAATAAACATCGTTATACGTTACATCAGTCTCTATTAAATTTTCTAAGAAAAAACATCTAAAGCAACTAACTTTTAGAAATTGTTGAAACTTTTTATCCAATTAACTAAAATGTTTTGATAAGAATATATATATATATATATATATATTTATATAACAAGCAATGTTATTATATTGTACATACTATAATGCAAAAAAAAATTAATGAAGCTCAATTAAAAATCTGAAGCGTAAACAATCATTTTTGGGCGCCTATCTCCAAGTATAGTTTTGACCTCCAAACCTCTAGAATAGTTTTTTTTCTATCGGATAAGAGTAGCAGTTGTGGTTAATGCTAAATTATGATCTATTGCTTTAAAAAGATTTCTTTTAATTCTAAATATGATGTAAAATATAGTTTGTAAGCATAAATATATAGAATGCCAGTATGTGTTATATAACACCTGTACAAAAATAGTTTGAAATTTTTTGATATTAGTATGTAAGTTTTGCCTTGGATTAGATTTAATGATGCTTGATGGATGTAAATATTAAATATATATTATTTTTTAAATTTCAGTAACTTATTTGAGGTTCGGAGATCATCTGACGATGTCTCAATATGCCAGTACTAAATTTGTGAAAATTTCTGATATACCACAAGGGTTATGAACAAAAGCTCCAACAAGAGATATTATACTTTTATTGTCAAGCGTGTTTTAGAAGAGTTAACTGTATAATTTCCATATAGAAGAACGATGTTAAATTGCGTGACCCAACACATTTTCAACAATGTAATAACCATATATTTAAGCAAATATGCATGCATGCATAATTACAAGCACGTTGGATTATGAAAATTACGGGTTTGTTTGGTTGCTTGTTGCTTGATATATATTTGTATTTAGAAAATAATGATTCTTTATATTTACAGTCAATTTACACAATGTGTTTTATATTTCACTTTGCACGTACTATTGCAAATAAAAGTACGTTCGAGCAAATATTGTGTCTTATAATGAAGCTTTATGAATAGAAGCGTTTTCAAAATCCTATCATAAGTTCATTGAAACGTTTGCCAAAAACATTAGAGTTTTCTTACATAATAGGTCAAAAGGTTATTTTCAATTTATTGGAACTGAAACTTAAATTATGAACATGAATATTGCAAATATCTTTAAAATGTAAATGAAAATCTACTTACGTAGCATTGCTGCAAATTCAAATTTAAAATAATATTTATGCATGTAAATTTTTCAGTCACCAAAATTATTAGTTAGAATTTTGTTAATTGCAATTCTTGGTCTTGTATACAAAAAGCCTAAAATATGATAAATATTGTGAGCAATAGTAAGGTATCACACAGATATTTTCAAAAATGATTTTGAAATAGGTGAAAAAAACAAAATATAGTATTATTGAAAAATAATGATTATAAAAATGACGTATTAAATTTGAATCAAACTGTTTAAGCCAGTGGTTTCCAACATTTTTGCACCGCTCCCCTCTGCACTAATAAAAAAAAATTGCGCCCTGCTTATTT